TGCATGCAGCAATAAAATAAATGAATTGTTATTTTGCATGCAGCAGTTTCTTTGAGTTCGAATTAAATGTTCAACAGAAAAGGACTTTTCTTTTTTGCATTTGCTGCAGCAGAAAGTTGCAAAAGCTGCACTTTAGAGCCTTTCTGCATGCATTTAATTCTCTTCAATCTTTAAAACATTTAAATGCATTTCTGCCTTTTTATTTGGCAGCAAATGCCCAAATAGCTCATTTGCATGCACATGGCAGTAAGCGCATGCACTTTGGGGCTTGCATGCATGCGCACTGAAGGTCTCCCAAAAATAAATATTTATAAATATTTGTGTTATATATTTATATTTATTTATTCATTATTTATTTACTTTCCATCTATTTTCATTTCTTCCCAATTAGGTCTGCCGAACGCCAAGCAAACAGCCAAATGCAACACTGCCAAGTTGGGGCTTTGCATGCATGCATGCATGCGTGCAAGCATGCATGCATGCATGCAGGCAGGCAGGGGTTATGCATGCATGCATGCATGCGCGCATGCATGCATGCATGCATGCATGTATGCAGGGGTTGTGCATGCATGCATGCATGCGCGCATGCATGCATGCATGCATGCATGCATGTATGCAGGGGTTATGCATGCATGCATGCATGCATGCGCGCATGCACTCAATTGTTGGTAATTGCAACTGCAATAAGGCGTGCATGCAAAGTTATATTGTCGGTGATGTTGCGGGAGACATGACGCCAAGGTCAAACGAAGACGCAAGCATGCATGCATGCATGCATGCATGCATGCATGCATGCATGCGTGTGCGCATGCATGTGCATGCATGCATGCGTGTGTACATGCATTTGCAGGCATGCATACATGCATGCATGCATGCGTGCATGCATGCATGCATGCATGCGTGTGTGCATGCATGTGCATGCATGCATGCATGCATGCGTGTGTGCATGCATGTGCATGCGTGCATGCATGCGTGTGTGCATGCATGTGCATGCATGCATGCATGCAGCTTTCGTTTTGAAGGCGTGCTAACGTGCTTTAGAAATAACATCTCGGGCTAGTTCAAGAAGTCAATTGTTGTTGAAAACTGATGCATGCATGCATGCATGCAGGCTGCATGCATGCATGCATGCATGCATGCATGCATGCATGCATGCATGCATGCGTGGGTTTGCTGTTTGCCCTTTGGGGCTTTTTGAGTTTTGCTGCGCTGGTGCAGCTTAAAGAGGAAAGGCCAAAGCCTCTTAGTCTGAAAACAGGAGGAGAATCCTCAGGGGGAAATAAGCAAATTGGAAAAGAAGAAATAAATAAATAGAAAATAAATAAAAGTAATCCATTTTTAATAAATAGAGATTAGATTAGAAGTGACTGCAGCAGGAAAAACTGGTGTCTTCTTGCATGGGAGGTGTTCAGCAGCTAGCAGCAGCAGCAGCAACAGCAGCAGCAGCAGCAGCAGCAGCAGCAGCAGCAGTGTCGCTTTAGCTGCAGCGGAGAAGGCCGCGCCAGCCTCCACAGGGAGCTGGTCTAGCAGCAGCAGAGCAGCAGCAGCAGCAGCAGCAGCAGCAGCAGCAGCAGGAAGCTAAGAGGAGCCTTTCTTGTTGTTCTTTTTCGTTTTATTTTTTGGTTTTGCATGCATTCCGAGTGCATGCGTAGTTGTGAAAACAACGAAAAACAAAAATGCATGCAAAAAGCTTTTGATTAATTCAAGAAATGCATGCAAAGGATATTCTCATTGTGAGCGCATGCACTGGGTGGTATGAAAATGCATGTTACACACTTTTAAAGAGAATATGAGAGCGCAAAAGCTAATAAATAAATCCAAAATAAATAAAATGTGTTTATAAAATTAAAAAAATGAATTTATGAGCGGCTTGTAAGTCCAAAAGAGAGAAATTGACCTTTTGGATTTATAGCGGCTGCAGCGAAGATGTTGGAGCTGTGCGGTGTATGGACACCGGAACTACGCGGAAACATGAATAAAATATAAATAATTTTGTAAATATTATTTAAAATATATTTTATGTTTTGCTTTGTGCATCCAATATAGAAAGAATTGTGAAAAAGGCAGCACTTGAGAATCCAAGAAGGCAGCGAAGATCTGCGCTGGCCATTTGAATCAGCAGCAAATGGAATTGTTCAGGATCCAAAAAGGAGAATTATAATGACAAAAACATTTTTAAAATAATTTTAACTTTAAATATATTCAATAATAATGAATTAATTGCAGAAAATGCAGACTTCAAAGGCGAAAAGTTGCAGCAGCATTCAAGTTGCAATGGGGCTGCATGCAAATGAAACTTGAAATACGGAATTCGGGCTTTCGCGCTGAGTTCTGAGCTGCAGCAAGAACTTAAAAAGAGCTATTAGTAAAAAATAAAATAATAATTTAAAATTAAATTAAAAAAAAGATTAAACTGTCAGTAATAGTTTTAAAAAGGCCTTTGTCTTGCTGCTGCTGCTTCCAGCTCGTAGCTGCTGCAGCCGGATCCGCAGCAACTAGGCAGCAGCAGCTGCACAGCAGCGCCTAGGGGTTTTGCTTTGCCGCTGCCGCTGCTGCTGCTGCTACTGCTGTTGCTGCTGCTGCTGCTGTTGCTGCTGCTGCTGCTGTTGCTGCTGCTGCTGCTGCAGTGCCTGAAGGGAAATGCTTAATGCTGTACTTCAACTTCTTCTGTAGATTTGCTGCAGCGGGCTGCAGCAAATCTGCACTTGCTGCCCCTGCATGCAGCTGAAGTGCCTTCTAGAGGCACTGCAGCAGCAGCAGCAGCAGCAGCAGCAGCAGCAGCAACGCGGCTTCTTGCTGGTTCTTCTGCTGCTGCAGCTCGCTGCAGCTAGGATTAGCTGCTGCTGCGATCCTCTGTGGTTTATTTGCTGCTGCTGCGATTGATTGCGTCTAAGATTTGCTGCTGCTGCTGCTCATTGCGCTGCTGCTGCGGTCAAGATTTGCTGCTGCTGCGGTTCACTGAGGTTAATCTTTGCTGCTGCTGCAATTTGCTGCGGCTAAGATCTGCTGCTGTTGCTGCTGCTGCTGCACCCAGGGCCCTAGGTATGGGCACTAGGAGCAGCAGCGTGCGCGTGCTGCTGCGGCTGGGCCGCGTGGGCAGCAGCAGCAGCAGCAGCAGCTGCTGCTGCTGCTGCTGCGGAGGCTTTTGCTGCAGGGTGTCTTGCAGCAAAGCAAATAAACAGCAGCAGCAGCAAACTTCTCTGAAAAGCTGCCCGCAGCAAACTTGCCTCGTGTTTGAATTGCTTCCAGTTATATTTATAATTTGCAAGAAAATCCCCTTCGCTGGCTTCTGCGCTGCTGCTGCTGCTGCTCTGCTGCTGCAGCCCGCAGCAGCAGCAGCAGCGGACTGCAGCAACAGAGCAACAGCGGGTTGCAGCAGCAGAGCAGCAAGCGGCTAGGACTCGCTGCAGCGGCAGCAGCAACTTGCTGCAAGAGCTCGAAAAGCAGGCAGCAGCAGGTTGCTGCTGCTTCGCTAACTACGCATGCAGCAGCTTTTTGCTGCTGCTGCTGCTGCTGCTGCTGCTGCGCAGCTGGCGGCCTGGAGGGCTTTTGCTGCTGCTGAAGACAGAGCTTTTATTCTTTTAATTCAGCAGCAAATCCCAAAAGAAATAATAAGTGCTGCAGCTTCTCTGTTGAACTTTTTTTAAAAACATTTTTATTCTTTAAAGCATCTTTTGAAGACTTCAGAAAAGCAGCTGCTGAGACAGAGGCTTCTTGCTGCTGCAGCAAACTCTCTCTTTGCTGCTGCTGTGTGCCACAGGGGAGCTGCGAATTGTCTTTTAAACTTTTCTTTTCCGCAGGAGCCAAGCAGCAATTTGTTTGTTGCCAAAAGTTGCAAAATATATTTTAATTCTTTTTAAAAATAAAGACTTTTTGTGGCTGGCCCTGCAGCAATTTGTGTCAGCAGTTCTGCCCCGAAGCAGCTTGCTGCTGCTGCTTGTACGCAGCAGAAGAGCAGCAGCAGCTTTGCTGCAGCGCAGCAACTCGGAGAGCAGAAGTGGCTTTCTGTGGGGCCCCAGAAGCTCGGCAGCAGCAGCAAAGTTAGCGAGTGAGCAGCAGCTCGGAGTGGATAAGTGCATTTAGACGAAAAGGCACTTCTTCTGGTTTATATTTTATCTTTATTGAAGGGCATTTGTTAGTGTTTGTGGCTTTTGCTGCTGCAGCACTGCAGCAACCGCTGCTGCGGCTGCTTCGCCCGGCGCTGCGGGCCGCGCAGCAGCAGCAGAGGCGCAACAAAACCCTAAAAGGGGGTATAGTTTTGAATTAAGCCTTTTTAGAGTGGCTGGGAGTTGTGTATATGTTCTGGGGCGCTGCGCTGCTGCGCGGGCGACTGCAGCAGCAGCTCTTGCTGCTGCTGCACGCGTTTCCGAGGCTGCGGGCGCCGCCGCGGGAAAGCCAGCCGCTGCAGTGAAAACCGCGCGAAATGCAGAAAGAGAACTGCGGAAGAAGTGAAGAAGTGGGGAATTAAAGGCAAAGTCGCAGTGGGCTGCGCAGATTCCGCGGCGCGGCGGTTGCGGCGCGGAAAGCCGGCGCAGCAGCAGCAGCAGCAGCTGCGCGCCGCTGCAGCCGCCGCGAAGGCGGAAAGAAAGGAAAAAACAAAAGGGAATTATAAAGGGAAAAAGAAGAAAAGAAGAAAGCGGTCTTTGGCGGAGGGCTGCGGCAATGTATGGTGAGCGTCGGGGCTGCGAGCAACCCCTCCCCTGAATGCGGGCTTTCGCAGCCGCCTGTCTCGGATCCCGCGGGAGGAACTCGGAGAAATATCTCTTGGGATTTTTCGCAACAGCAAACTGGAGTTCTCGGGCGCGCGCTGCTGCCTGGTGTGCGAAAACAAGAGTGGTTTCCGCTTCCCCGCAGTCGCCTCTCAGCCTTTCTTTCCGCTGCTGCTGCTGCTGCTGCTGCTGCTGCTGCTGCTGCTGCGGCCCCCAGCGCGCCCCAGCGACAAAATGGCCGGCAAAGTCGACAAGTCCAGAAAGCTCGAGCCGGTGCCGAAGCCGGACGAGAAGCTCTACCGCGACCGGATCCAGGCCGAGACGGCCGCCATTGACGACTTGCGGGCCAAAATCGTGCGTCGGCACCTCTTTGCTGCTTTCTCTGCGTCACTTTCCGCATTTGCTGCTCCTTTTTGACCCTTTTGGCGCTGCAGCAGCGCCGGATTCCCCCGCCGCAGCAGCGCAGCAGCGCCGCTGCTCCTGCTGCTGCTGCTGCTGACGCAGCAGCAGCTTTCTTGGCTCCGGCTGCGCCGCGCGCCCGCTGCTGCGCCGGCTTGCTGCTGCTGCTCCGGCTTGCTGCTGCTGCTCCGCCCTCTCCGCAGCAGCATCTTTGGCCCGCCAACTGGCGGCAGTGCTCCACTCTGCCGGATTCTAAAGTGTTTTTGAATTCTTTATTCACTGCTTTGCGATTTCGCTCGAGTTTCCGCGCTGCAGCGGCCACAGCGCCACTGACTGCTCCGCTGGGCGCTGCGCTGCTGCTCCAGTTGCGAGTCTTTGTGCAAAATGAGTGGTGTTGCGCGCAGCATTATTGAATTCTTGTGCAGAATAATTGAATTCGTGTGGAGAATGATGGAATTGCCTGCATAATGAGGGGATTTGCGTGCAGGATTGTTGAATTCGCGTGCAGAATGGGTCAAGTCGCGTGCAGAATGCGTGATTTCGTGTGCAGAATGCGCAGATTTTTGCGCAGAATGAGCGAATTTTTGCCCAAAATGGCCGAATTTATGTGCAGAATTGGCGAATTTATGTGCAGAATTAGCAAATTTATGTGCAAAATGGGCGAATTTATGTGGAAAATGAGTTAATATGTGTGCAGAATGGAAGAATTTACGTGCAGAATGGGTGAATCTGTGTCCAGAGTGGTTGAATCTGTGACCGGAATGAGTGAATTTGTTTGCAGATTTGTTGAATTTTGTGCAGATTAATTGAATTGTGTGCAGATTAATTGAATTGTGTGCAGATTAATTGAATTTTGTGCAGATTAATTGAATTGTGTTCTGAAGGAGTGAATTCGTGTGCAGGATGAGTGATTTGTGTGCAAAATATATGAATTTGTATGCAAAATAGAAGACTTTTTGTGCAAAATAAATGAATTTTTGTGCAAAATTAATGAATTTTTCTGCAAAATTAATGAATTTTTGCGCAAAATTAATGAATTTGTCTGCAAAATAAATGAATTTGTGTGCAGAATGAGCTCCAGCAAAAGATTTCCGCCGTCATTGGCGGCCGGGAGGAATACAACATGGAGAAGCAAAACAGGCAGGCTCGCCTGGACGCGTTGCAGGTGAAGAAAAGAGAAAACTTTATTAAATTAAAACTATTTAAACTTTTAAATTGTTTTTATTAACTTGAAAGCATTTAAATATTTGCAATTATTTGTTTTCAGAAAGAAATAGACCAGCTCGAGGAGCAGCGCAAGGTCTTGTTCGAGAAGATCCAGTCGAAGCAAAAGGAGGGCGCGGAGATGGTGGGTTTTGTTGCACATTTTAAAACTATTTCTGCACATTTAAAACTATTTTCTGCAGATTTTAAAATCATTTTTGCTCATTTAAAGCTATTCTCTGCACATTTAAAGCTATTTTCCGCATATTTAAAGCTATTTTCTGCACGTTTAAAACTATTTTCTGCAAATTTGAAACTATTGTGTGCATATTTTGTGCTCATATAAAGCTATTTACTGCAGACTTAAGACTATTTCGTGCACATTTAAAACTATTTTGTGCACATTTAGAACCATTTTCTTCACATTTAAAGCTATTTTGTGCATATTTAAAAACATTTTGTGCGCATGTAGAACTATTTTCTGCGCATTTAGAGCTATTTTGTGCAAAGTTAAAGAATTTTGTGAACACTTAAAACTATTTTCTGCGCATTTAGAGCTATTTTGTGCATATTTAAAGTGTTTTGTGCACATCTAAAGCCATTTTGTGCACATTTAGAGCTATTTTGTGCAGATTTAGAGTGTTTTGTGCACATTGAAGCCGATCTCGTGCACATTTAGAGCTACTTTGTGCAGATTTAAAGTGTTTTTTGCAGATTTAAAGCCATTTTGTGCACATTTAGAGCTATTCTGTGCAGATTTAAAAGTGTTTTGTGCAGATTTAAGCCGATCTTGTGCACATTTAGAGCTATTTTGTGCAGATTTAAAAGTGTTTTGTGCAGATTTAAAGCCATTTTGTGCACATTTAGAGCTATTTTGTGCATATTCAAAAGTGTTTTGTGCAGCTTTAAAGCCATTTTGTGCACATTTAGAGCTATTTGTGCAGATTTAAAGTGTTTTGTGCAGCTTGAAGCTGTTTTGGTTTGCGCAGAAGCAATCCGCAACGGACCTGCGGCGGAAGATCGGGTTTTCGTGCGTGGAGGAGATTGAGGAGAAAATTGCGGCGGTGGAACACAATTTAATGACTTCAACTTTGAGTTTGAAAGAAGAAAAACAACTTTTGGAAGAAATTAAAAGACTCAAAAACAGCAAGCCGCTGCTTTCCAAGTTCCGCGCGCTGCAGCAGAGCGCCAGCAGCCTCGAGGACGGCTCCGTGGGTGCGAAGTCCAAACTCTTTTTCATAAAATAATTCAATTTTAAACTCTTTTGTACAAAATAATTCAATTTCAAACTCTTTTGCATTAAATAATCCAATTTCAAACTCTTTTGCACAAAATAATTCAATTTCAAACTCTTTTGCATTAAATAATTCAAGTTCAAACTCTTTTGCATTAAATAATTCAATTTTAAACTCTTTCGCATTAAATAATTCAATTTCAAACTCTTTTGCACAAAATAATTGAAGTTCAAACTCGTTTGCATAAAATAATTCAATTTCGAACTTTTTTGCATTAAATAATTCAAGTTCAAACTCCTTTGCAGAAAATAATTCAAGTTTAAACTACTTTGCACACAATATTTCAAGTTTAAACTCCTTTGCACAAAATAATTCAAGTTCAAACTCTTTTGCATAAAATATGCTTTAATTCTCTTTTGCATGCAAATAAGTTGAACTGAACTCTCTTTGCATGCAAACAATGCCTTTCTTGAACTCCATTTGCATGCAAACAATGGCTTTTTTGAACTCAATTTGCATGCAAACACTGGCTTTTTTAGTTCCATTTGCATGCAAACAATGACTTTTTTAGTTCCATTTGCATGCAATTAATGCCTTTTTTGAACTCCATTTGCATGCAAATAATGACCTTTTTAGCTCTCTTTGCATGCAAACGATGCCTTTCTTCAGCTCTCTTTTGCATGCAAACAATGCCTTTCTTCAGCTGTCATTTGCATGCAAACAATGCCCTTTTTAAACTCCATTTGCATGCAAACAATGCCTTTTTTAGTTCCATTTGCATGCAAATAATGACCTTTTTTAGCTCTCTTTTGCATGTAAATAGTGACCTTTTTAATCTCTTTTTAGCTCTCATTTGCATGCAAACAATGGCTTTTTTAGTTCCATTTGCATGCAAATAATGCCTTTCTTTAGCTCTCTTTGCATGCAAATAATGCCGTTCTTTAGCTCTCTTTTGCATGCAAATAATGCCATTTTTAAACTCCATTTGCATGCAAAAAATGCCATTTTTTAACTCCATTTGCATGCAAAAAATGCCATTTTAAAACTCCATTTGCATGCAAATAATGCCGTTTTTTAGCTCTCTTTTGCATGCAAACAATGCCATTTTTAAACTCCATTTGCATGCAAATAATGCCATTTTAAAACTCCATTTGCATGCAAATAATGTCATTTTAAAACTCCATTTGCATGCAAATAATGCCATTTTAAAACTCCATTTGCATGCAAATAATGCCTTTCTTTAGCTCTCTTTGCATGCAAATAATGCCGTTTTTTAGCTCTCTTTTGCATGCAAACAATGCCATTTTAAAACTCCATTTGCATGCAAAAAATCCCTTTTCTAAACTCCATTTGCATGCAAAAAATGCCATTTTAAAACTCCATTTGCATGCAAAAATGACTTTTTAAAACTCCAATTTGGAACTTTTGTCTGCAGTGCCGCTGCGCGCGGCCCTCGAGGAAGTCCGCGGCAAACTTTTGGAACTTCGCGCCCAAAAACGCGCGGAGAGTCAAAAGTACAAAGAGCTCCTCGAAAGACGGTGAGAGCAGCAGCAGCAGCAGCAGCAGCAGCAGCAGCAGCAGCAGCAGCAGCAGCAGCAGCAGCAGCAGCAG